TATACAAATTTCTACCAAGTCAGCAATTTTTAAGTGGATGACCTAACGTCCATTCTTGTAACACGCATTCTACTTTGAACCATTGAATTACCATACTGTCAAAGAAAAGAGTGAATCACATACCAACCAATTCAATCATTCATTGGATGTTAGATTTTATCACCCAATACTCAATCCAATTTACATCAAACAACTTATCTAATCCAATCCGTTCGATTTGATTTCATCCACCAGATATTACTAGCTATTGTATATATATATATATATCAAATATTCTGGTTTAATTTTATACCAATTAATCTACCATTTCAACCAAGTATTCATATATTTTCTTAAGTACTTTAAAATACTACATATAAATATCAACCAGAAACTATAAAAGATTATTAAGTATATAGATTTATTATAATTGGATTGTACTAGATTGAGTATCTGATTGGATGATAACTGGATTTGGATTCAATTTGATCCAATTGCAATTACATATCCAATTATGATCAGTCCACTCCAATTAAATCAAATTACTTTCTACATCCCCGTACCAAGATGCTATTAGAACCATCTTTGGAGAATCAATGTACTCTTTAATATATTTATATTGTGATACATAATGATACCAAATATTCAACACAAAAATTAGAAAATTCTAAAAATATTCATATATATATATATATATATATATATATAGTAGTGATTGTGAACATGATTTTGGTAGAGAAAATAAAAGGCAATTAAAAAGCAGTAATTAGTGAATCAAACTTGGTTGTTTTGGATGATCTGGTTTGGTTGATGTTCAGCTGGTGATGATGAGGTCTTGAAAATGAAATCTTTAAAATCAAGAAAATCTTTGGCAGCAGAAAACGCCATGGCAACAGAAATGAGTCCAAGCAGAATGATGAAGAAGATGGTTAAGGATATGTTGATGAAGTTGGAATGACGATGATGGAGTAATCCATGCATGGTGAACATGGCAACCAATGCTGATGTAAATGCAGCCACCATTGTTTTCCATATCATCCTGGGCATGTAATATGTCCATCCACGCTTCATTTATCTCTATTTTTCTTTCTTTTTTACCCCCTCATCAAATCAGATATCTCATATCTCTCTTTCTCTCTCTGTATATATATATATAGAGAGAGAGAGAGAGAAAGATAGATAGATAGATTTGAGGAGAAAGAAGAAATGTGTAGATTATAACAAGAAGGCTAAATGAAACCTCAGAATTAAAGCATATGTGTGTATGTATGTATATATATATATATATATATATATATATGTGTGTGTGTGTGTGTGTGTATGTGTATTGAATTTATATATGAATGAAATGAAATCAACATTAAACATACTTGAAACAAGAAAGTAGGGAAAAAGTGAAGAGTCAAACAAGAAGTATTTGGAGAGAAATTTAGTCAAAATATGAGAGTGGAAATATAGATGGAACTAGAGGGGTGGTTAGGTGTCACGTGCCACCGTATTGTTTTTCTGTGGTAAGATAAAAAAAAAATTAGATTCGTGAAAGATGCAACATTTTTATTCTAGAAGGTACAACCATTTTATATGATGTCACCGTATACAAAAAAATTTGGGTTCATCCTTGATAGGAAACATTTAAAAGAAGATAATTTAATAAATGACAATAAAGCTTTTCCTTTTTCAAAACATCTAAAACAAGATAATTAATAAATGAGCAGCCATTTCAGAGAAAAGAAGCATTTCAAATCCTTCATTTATTAATCTACAACTTTTCATATGAAAATATATGATGTTTAGTAGGATGTGTATATTATAAATCATAAATCTAATTATTTTCTAAGGCTTTTAATTAACTCTGAAAAGATATAACATATTATAAAACTGTTTGACGGGTTTTTTCTGTCGAAAATACAAATCCGTCCACTGACCCACTAATCTATTGTTTTCCATATCATCTTGGATATGTAATATGCATGCTTCATTTATCCCTCTTTTCTCATCAAATCTTATATCTCATATGTCTGTGTAGATAAGTTTTATCCCTTTATATTTAGGAGTTGTATTCTATCTCATAATCTCTCTTGTATAAATATTTTCCCTTATGTGGTAGATCTAATTCATAGAGTAGTAAATAATATTTCTTTCTCCAACTCTAACCGAATGTTTTTGGACGGAATGAAATCTGCTAAAGGAATTTGACTTTGAAAAAATTGGAATGGAATGTTATCAGATTTGACCACATGTTTAATTCACAGACATTGGAATGAAATTTGTTAAGGAATTGGAATCTGTCTGTTTGGTTCACATAATGTAGCTTTCAAATTGGAATGAAATATTGGTAAATGACCAAAATGCCCTATTTTGAAATTTTTAATTTTTTAAAACTAAAAATATTTTAATAAAATAATTATTTAATATGTAAAACAATATAAAATACACAACCTAAATATAACCATTACCCAAATGGCAATAATAAATAAGCGGTGGTCTACGGCGATTTAGATCGGTGGTGGTCTGCAGTGGTTTAGATGACGATGGTCGACGGTGATTCAGATCAACAGCGGTTGGCGGTGATCAACGATGGTCATATTGGTTTTATGAAATTAGGGTATATTGGGTTAAGGACATATTTGATATTATGAAAATAGAGAATTTCATGTCATCCAAATACCATGTAGTTGCTAAGAAATATTAAATTCGTTTATTTGTAGGATTTTGAAGATTCCTTTCGTGAAAAAGAATGAACCAAACAAGAGAATGGAATTTGGTAAATGGAATTCAACATTCCAATTTCACCGGGTTCCGTGAACCAAACGCCACCTAAAGCTTTTACGGTGAGCTTTGTCAATAACCACTATGGGATCAGACTCCGAGAAACCAACCGAACCCTCATCAATAATCATCCCTACTACTGCCAACTTCGACAAAAATCTCTCTCTAAGTTACAAGCTTTAAGTTGTCCGGATTAAACTACCTTCAATGGTCTCGATCTGTCCAACTCATTATTCTGGAAAGGGCAAGTATGGCTACATCTATGGTTCCATTAAAAAAACCCTTACCCGCCGATTCCTCCTACGTCGAATGGGATATTCAGAATTCCATGATTATGGCATGGCTCATCAATTCGATGCAATATAGCATTGCAGAAACTACCTCCTTTATTCATGGCAAAATCTATTTGAGATGTCGTCACCCTCTCCTGCTCAGATCTCAAAGACTCCTCACAGATGTTCGAGCTTCGAACTAAGGCTAGGGAAGGAAACCAGGCGGGTAACGCATCCCCCGACCCCTGCTTAAGCCCCCCATCACCTACCCCGCCCTGGCTAATCCCCAATGGAAACGGGGGAAAGGCCCGACGGGTTTGAGGAACCCGTTGGGTACCTGTTTAGTAAAAACGATATATTTTAAAATTAAATGTAGCTATATTAATTACCAATATTGAAGATCAAAATATATTTGTCATTTGATTATAAAGATATACCTTATATACATATACATATATATATATATATATATATTTTTTTTTATACATAATAATTAAAATAAAAAAAATTAATCAGGTCGGATTAGGGGGGTAATGTCATCCCCGACCCCGCTTTGGATATGAAAATAAATCATTGTCGCTACCCCCTTACCCGTCAATAACAGGTAAAATTTTCATCTCTAACTAAGGCTCGAAACCTGCAACAAGATACAAGTAACATTATTACCTACTTTAATACCTTAACCAAACTTTGGCAGAAATTTTGATCTTTTTTCTCTAACTTGAGTGGAAAGATTCATTAGATGCTGAGTTATACAAGAAGATGTTTATGTTAGAACTAAAATAATCCTAAATATTATGAAAGTTCTATAAAAACAATTATCTTGTATCTTATTGTATTGTATTGTAATATCATGTAATTAGGTTTAAGGACAAATGGACTTACATTGTAAATGTCACCTGTAATTATTGTATTGTATTGTAATATCATTGTAAATAGGTTTAAGGACAAATGGACTTAATGTTTCATCGAATAAGATAAGTTGGCCAGTTGATCATCTTAATCTCTCAATCTTCATCTATATTCTTGAATTGCTGTTAGATCTAGGATCAACAGTTTACCAAAGAAAGAACCTATGATTTCCTGGCCAGACTTTGATTCCTCACTTGATGATGTTCGAGAACGTATTCTCAGTCTTAAACCCATACCAACAATCGACACCATCTTTGCCGAAGTGCGCCAAGAAGAGTATCGGAAAAAGACCAATACTTAATGAAACACAGATACAAAGCTCGGTTTGTCGCAAAAGGCTACCTACAGGAATTCTGGGTTTAAAAATGCGCGCATTATGCAAACTGATGCGCGATGCGATGCGATGCGATGAAGAAAGCGCATCAAAGGGACTGATGCGATGCGATCGCATCACCTACGCATCACTCGATGCGTGCATCACTTGTGCATCAACGCATCATGTATATGTTGTGTTTTTGGGCTTTTTTTCAGTATTTAGTTGGGCCTTTTAGTTGGGCTTATTAAGTAAAATAGAACGTTAAAGTAAAATAGAACGTTAAGAAACAGCCTGTTATGTTATCGACCTAATAGAAGCCGACGCCCGACAGCGAAGAAGTAGAACCAGCAAAGAAGCAGAAAGCGTGATACTCGAACTCGATAACCAGGTCGATACTCGACAACCAGCAAAGCAGCAGAAAACGACAGCCTAGAAGAAGAAGCTCGACAGTCGACAGCCTAGAAGAAGAAGCTCGACAGTCGACAGAAAGTGAAGAATTAGAAGTCGACCAGCTTACAGAATGTCGGAATCGGAACCTATTGCGAGTTCAAATTCAAACACTTCATCAGGTGACCAGTAGAAAATATGGAACTCAAGATCCTAAATGTAGGAACAATTTCACTTGTCATTTTTGTGGTAAAGTAGTTAAGGGTGGTGTATATCGTTTAAAATGGCATTTTATTGGAGGTCTATCRGCTGTTACTAGTTGTCCAAATTGTCCAGAACATGTAAAAGAATAAATAAGGTCTTATATGCAGAAAAAAGAAGTAGCGAAGGTGGAGAATATAATGAACTCAAGTTACTTGCATTCGGATGATTATGATCTTGGTGAAGAGGACGATGAGTGCGTTGAAATAGAAGGTGGTAGTAGTAAGGTGCCCACACGAAAAAGACCGAGACAAAAAGGTCCCCTAGATAGGTTCTTCACTCCTAATCCTGAAGACGTGATCAAAGGTAAAAAAGATGGAAAAGGAGGGATACAACAAACCATAAATGCGGTGGTTCGAAAGGAGTTAAGGGATAAAGCTTGTACGCAAATAGCAAGGTGGTTTTATGATGCCGGCATTCCTTTTAATGCCGCTACTTATGATAGCTTTAGTG